ATTTTTTTTTTTTTTTTTTTTTTTTTTTTTTTTTTTTTTTTTTTCCAGTTTTTAAGTGAATTTTATTTAGTAGCATTAATTCTATAGCAAAGATATAAGAATGATGGAATTGCATTAAAAACCTTCAAAGCCACACTATCCTATTATCAGACTTAAATATTAAGGAGAGTACAATTCTCTGCTGAAAATTCTATTTAAGGAGTAGGTCTTTCAGCACCGAAACAAATCAAGTTAAGTTTGGTTTGTTTGTTTTTTTTTAAATCCAACTCTTGGGAATTCCAAACCATGACTGTTAAAAACAGGGTTTTGTTTTGTTTTTGGTTTGGTTACCCGTTGTATCAAAATATGCATGCTAAAAACAGAGATGGGACATTTCTGTTGTTTACATACCTTCATTTTTGGAAAGCTAAAATGTCGCGAACAGTGGAACACAGACATAAAACCCATCTTTTAAAAATAGCACCTGGAGTATAAATAGTTTAAACTATCACCTTTGAAATGCTTCATTTTTCTATATAGCCCTTAAGTAAAATTTTTAAAAAGATGAAAAACACTGTGCGGCCCGTCTTTTAACTTTTAAAAAAAACAAAAAAACTTAAAAACGCGTTTGCAATTTAAAATCTTCCAAATGCCCGCGCTCTGCAAACACTCTCTAGCCAGCCTAGCGGGATGACAGCAGGCCGAGCAGTCTTTGAGGAAAAGCTGCCTCTAGCCTGGGGTACAAAGCAACCCCCTTTGATCCTTCTCTCATTCTTCTGCAGATGGAGGACCGACAAACAACGCTCTCCTTTAGAGGGGTACACACGTCCCTCTCCTCAGCTAAGCTCCCAGACGCCAGACCCAGGACAGGCCGCGAGGCCACGAGGAGCTCTCGGGGAGCCAGGCCCGGGCGGGTCAGGGAGGCGAGGCGAGGCGAGGCGAGGCGAGGGGTCTTCCGGGCAGGCGTGAGGCCCGGACTCCGAACAAAGCTCCGGCCCAGGAAGAGCAGGCCGCCCCGCGACGCACGCTCACGGGGCTCCGGCGCTACGCGAGAGCCGCAGCGCGCCGGGCGGCCGCCTTTACGCCACTGGCTTGGCCCCAAGGTGCAATCTTCTTAAAGAGATTGCTTTGTCAGTACAATTTAAAAGCATGTATTTATATGTTTTAGTAAATAACTTACAATACACTGTCACTGAAAGAAAAATTCTAAGTTTTTAATCAAATGAATAAGCATCTATAAAAATGAGCTTTTTCTGAGTTCTCAATTAAACATGTACTGACACAACTTTTTCAGTGCCGTGAGTCTCTACACACATCTCCTCATACCGCATCACTTTTCTTGCTTTGAACTTTCCTAATTGTTCCTGCCCATGAGCCAGCATAGATGAAACTTGGTAAAAATCAACAAGGCAACTAAAACCACTTTTCATTCTGCACTTCAGCACTATGATAGGCCCTGCAGGCCTAGGAAATCACTAATTAGTAATCACAGGGCAGCTACATGCCAATAAAGATGACCATTTCCATGAGCCCAGCATAACATTTTGGTAACAACAAAATCAGCAGTTAAACACAAACACCATGAAACTCCAAAGTCAGCTTAAAACTAGTTCTGAAATAATAGGAGACTCGGGAAACCACTATTTTGTTACTAGTACACTCAGTATATGCAGACCACGTGCTTCACCTGACGCTACTGAATGACCTTGTCACTGGGTACTGCATCATTACACACTATACTGAGCTCCACGGCTAAAAGTGACAAGTCTCTCTAGCCAAAGAAAAATTCTGTGAGAACCTAAGTAGGTGTCATTTTCTAGTTTTATTCTGTTGAACTCATTCTATTTTCCTCAAAGTTGTATCTTCTTTGGCAATGAGAGACTGGGGTTGCATTTATTCTTTCTCCCTCTAATCCTTCACCTTCAATCAAAGAACAGTCTTTTTGGTTCCCCACCCCTTAAGTGCTGGCAAGAAACTCAGAACTCTGAATACAGTAGGAAACCCTGAGCGATAGCTCTTTTCTGTCTCGATTATTTTTAATACACAGGCATTTTTCCACAGATTTTCTTTAGAAGAAGCTTCTACCACAAATCAAATGAATAACCTAATCCAAATCGTATAAAAACTGATACATTTAACAGTTGCTGGCAAGTTAAAGCTTACATAAAATTTTCACTTGTTATAGTTGTACACTGCTTCTAGAAATTGTCCATCAAATTTTTACTTTCTTATTTCAGGAAAAGAAAATACCTTACCCAGAATGACCAGATGCTGAAGGTGGTGGCAAGTCTGGTGTAAGGACATAAAGACTGTTGTTTTTTGGCAAGTGTAATGACTTTAAGACCGTCTGGAATAAAATAAAGGAGAGAAGACAAAAATAAATGATGACTTTGTACATTATTAATTTTTATAATTCTTGAATGCGTTGCAACTTTTAGTCTGGTCTTTGATCTTTTGGTAATTTCCTAAATATAACAGAAGAGCAGCTAAATCCAAACCATATTGTTTCTGCTATTTTCACTTTAAATTAATATAAATCTAAGCATTACAGCACAATAAAAATTTTAGCTCATAAAAGTATACAGATAAGAGCACAATTAAGAGTCATTAATTTCGCCACTGAAGTATATTCATATTATAGCAAAAAAAAATTAGTAATGCAGGCTTTCAGAAAATTTTTAGACCTAGTAAAAACTCATAGAAAGCACCTCAAAGCAGGAGTTCTTAATGCTGAGGCACTGCAGCCTGGGAGGCTGTGCAACTTGGATATGGACTCTCGTAAGAGAGAGCTCAGTCCTCTATCCTTACTCTAGACATCTTCTGTTGTTAGATCTCACCATTGAGCAGAACTCATATACACTTATGTATTCACTGTCACAAAACTCACACACTTTAGACGCCCAGTCTGATGGTAAGCACTTGCTAACATGCTTTCTGACAGCTATGCACATCAGGAAACTCACTTCTGCATCATGCACTCAGGGCGTGCGTATTTCTCACAGAACTTTACTGTATTACTCCTCTCTACCAGGACCACCCTAATCACAAAAGTGGCAAGAATAACCTAGGCATCCTGATTGTGGGGGACAATAGGGAAGGGACTTATGTTTCAGTAGGAGTATGATAGTTTTGTTGCTAGTTGTTGTTTTATTGTGTTTTGTTTTGCTTTGTTTTTTTAACTAAAGATAAGACAGGGAATGGGGATGAAGACTATGAGTTAGGGGAGCTTTGCAATTTTAAATTGAATAATCACTTTGCTCACTAAGCAAAGATTTGAAGGTGGCAGGGCAACAAACAAAAATATACAGAGAAAGAGCATGTCAGATGAAAATAGCCAGTACCAATGTTTAAACAAATAAATATAATATTTAACTTTAAAACGATGGCAGAAATAATGGATTGAAGGCATGAGTTGGAGGACTGTTGGAGCTAGACTATTAAAAGAAATGAGTTAAAAGGTAACAACTGTTCGGCAGAAAAAAAAAAAAAAAGCAAAAGGAACTTGAAATTAAGATGAAAGTTTTCTACCATTGTTAACACAATGTTAATAAAAGCATAAAGAGATGGGTGAAGCAAACTGCAGTGAAAGATTTTAGTAGGGAAAAGGTCCATGTAACTCAGTGGCCAACGTAAGAATCATTCACAAAAACCTGAAATTGCTAAGATGGCTGGAGACTGCTGAGCAGGGCCTAGCGCGCCTGCTATCCTACAAAGAACTGGAGTTTGGTTCCCAGTACCTTGGCCAAGCAGCTCACAACCACCTGGAACTCCAGCTCCTGGGATCCAACACCCTCTTTTTGCCTCTGGAGGCATCTATAGCCACAAGTACATAGACATAAGGAAAAAAATAAAAAATATTTTTAAAAAATTGTCTAACTCTTGCTAAAATGTAAAATTATATTAATAAGAATTAAGAAAATAAGGAAGGTAACTTCAGTAAGTTATCAAAAGGAGATATAACCTTTTGACATAAATTCGGAGCTAAAGAAACTCTGATAGGAAAAACAGATAATGATTTAGAGCTAAAAATGAAGACATATATTTTGATATTTATTCCAATTGTATGAAGACTGCCAAAATAAAACCAACACTAAGAAGACTACAAAGGAAGCAACTTCTTGAAGAAGATAGCCTTCACTCAGAAAAGGACAGTAAAGAAAATATACATGAGAGAGTTTAATAAAAATAATTTTGCTAATGATGGATTAGTTCCACGGCACACAGCAAAAAGGCTTATGGCATTGTAAAAGAAGGAAAAACAAGACAGGTGTAGGATGTGACATGAAGATTCCAGAGAGGAGTGATTTGGGAATCTCAGGCTCCTTACAGTGATTGGCTTAAAGAGGTATGGGTAGCAAAGTTAACCCTGGCAGAGTCAAATAATAATGGCAGGGCTGTAAGTGTTAAAGAAGCAAAGAGTGCTTAAGAAATCCTTACTTAAGGATTCCTTAATTCTGCAGATGGGGGGGGGGGGGGAAGACACCTGGAGAAAGGTGATCTTACCCAAGCAGGCCACAGGAAGAACTTTTAACTGCTCCATGAGAGGGCCCATCTTACTAAGTGCAGTCTTAAACAAAAATAAATACCCTAATTATTGACATTAGAATAACACTTCTGCTATATTCCACTTCTCTGCTCCTTCCTCTTTAGGTTGTCTATTGCCCATTCAATTAACTTCACAAGCTAGTCATGGTTCATGGTGCATGGTTTGAAAAGCAAACACCACAATATATAATCACTTACACAAGATTACAACCTACCAGGACACACCAAAGGCTGAGATTTTATGTCAAATATTAACACCTTTTTGAAACTGATATGTTCTCTCAATAATATTAGCATGCAAACAGTGCATACATATACACACAGGACTTTATTTTTACCTTTTACCTCTTCCTGCTTCATGAACTGCAGAGAAATACTCTCAGCACTGCCATACAATGCCAACCAAGGCATCATTAAATATTTAAGATTTATTTATTTTATTAGGTATACAATGTTCTGCCTCCATGTACATCTAATCACCAGAAGAGGGCACCAGATCTCATTACAGATGGTTGTGAGCCACCTTGTAGTTGTTGGGAATTGAACTCAGGACCTCTGGAAGAGCAGCCAGTGCTCTTAACCTCTGAGCCATCTCCAGCCCCAAAATGGACCCTTTCTTTAGGCCAATTATTCATCCATGAACCTTTATTGATACTGATATACCAAGAATTCTATATACACTGGTGTTGGAAGTGGGTATGGCCCGTCTTCTTATAATATCATGGTGGAGAATCATAGGACCAGAGCCAAATGAGAAGTGTTTGTAGAAAAAGTGTTGTGTATGTAGAAAAAAGCTAAACTCAAAAGATAGAAAGGAGCCATTTATATAAAGATTCGTAGGCAGTAATGATTGCAGAGATTTGACCAGTATCTTTCAGGGATTGGGTAAAATGCTTGGTCCTAGTGATAAGATTTTTAAATGAGCATGGCATCAGTGAGGGTAAGCAAAGTTCAACAGTTACTGTAAAGCTGAGAAAGGTTAAAACCTGTATTTCAACAAACAGGCAATATACTTCAATTAATGTTTTTAAAAGCTCACTCAGGCTGCTGAGCAGGGAATGATAGAAGTAGCCATGAAATGAAGGTAAGAAAACACTGGTAACATTACATTAGTACAGGCACAGATACTAAGTCTGGATTTGGCGGTTGCAATAAAATACTGAAAAGCAGCCTTGGTTAAGAAATATTTTAGAAATATAATAAATAGGACCTACAAAGTATTCTTTCTGATATTTTGTGAGGTGTTGTGAGATAAAGGAAAAGACCCATGGCAATAGTTTTTGCTTTACTAGTGGTTACACAAGGCTGCCATTTATTGAGGAGAACTGGTGAAAAGCAACCCAGGAGAGAATGAAGAGTTCTCTATAAAGAATGTCTGTCTGAGATGCCAGGAAAGTCTGCAAGAATGTAGTTGGCTATAGTGACTGCACACCCAGAAGCCCAGCACCTGGGTAGCAGAAACCTCCATTCTGTGGTAAACCACCACATTTGGTTTGAACACATCTGAGAGCCTGGCTTGAGAAGCAGGGCTATCCCCCACCATTTCAAACGCAAGTAGAAATGTCTCCAAATCTTTTCCCAGGTCTGGGAATAGCCTGCCCCCCACCAACACACCCCCAACACTGTGTTAGGGAGAGAAGATAACACAAAAGAGGCCAAGAGTAAAAAGATTTTGCCCTTGAAAACAGCTAGAAGGTAAAACACTTCCAAAAGACGTTACTATTACTTATCCGGGGCATAAAAAATGCCTGCAGTGAAGAAGGAGAGCACAAAGTCCGCTACTACGGCGAGCTCAGCCATGGAGAAAGAGCTCAACGATGAGCTAGCTCCAAACAACTGCTCAACTTCCCCGGTCAGCTTTTGCTGGATGTTGCAAGCAATCAATTTGATGATGTTATCTCTACCAGTTGCTCTTTGTCCTTTTACTTGGAAGTCTCACCGGAAGGGACACTATGGATGGGGAATGTCAGCTGCCTGACTTAAGGGGATTCCCCAGATTAATTTCCCTTGGAGGCTTTGAGTACCCAATCTGATGATGTCTTGTTGTCTACCTACCTATCGTTTGTTACTTGTTCTTTTACTTTGGCTTGCTATAAACTCTATTACTCATACAAAACTGAAAATATGGCTATTGTAGATCATTCTCCAGACTGTACAGAACAGAAGTGAAGACAGAAAGATAAAAAGTTCAAAGACAGCTTTAAGTACTTAATGAGTTTGAGAGCAGACTAGGCTATCTTGTCTCAGATAGCCAAGAAAAAGGGAGAGCAAAGGAAAAGGGGGAAAGGAGGAAGAGAAAGGGAAAGAAAAAAGAATAAAAATTCAAGTGTTAATTGTCAACTTAAACATGTGAAATAATTGAGGTATGGTATGGAAATATAAATTTGGAAGCAATCAAAAATAATGACATATAAATAATAGAAATTGCACATGAAATAGTATATAAATAAGTAACTGGAAGTATTGCATGTAGCCAAAAGCCTGTTCAAATATTAGGATAATACTTTAAGAACACTTCAAAATGACCACCTTCCTCTTAGCAAACTACAAATGGATGCAATATCACTTGATTAGTGCAGGTTTCTTGAATAAAAAGAAACTGATTTTGTTCTTGCTATTTATTTTTATCAAGATTGTTGAATTACTCATTCGTACCTTTTTAAACCACGGATACTAAAATAGATAAGGGGTAGGACTGAAGATCAGTTAAGAAAAAGCTTAGCATGTGGCGGCCCTGAATTTCAACCTGAGGACTACATAGCATCAAGAAGCAAAATAACTAAGGACACAGGGAAAAACAAGCTGCTTTTGTATGGTGTGTGAGTTAAAATAGCTTTTACATTTTTATATCATTGGAGAGGGATCAAAAGAACATTTCATGACATGAAATTTTATAACATTAAGTCTATGTCCATAAGAAAAGTTACACTTAAAAACTGTGATGCTTCCTTTTCATATTATGTCAGGGGTGTTCTCACTCTTTGGGAACAGAGTAAAACAGCTATAACAGAGGCTGGATAGAGCCTAAGTATTTATTACCTGACTGTACAAAGAGGCCTAATGACTAATAGAGCACATCCTCAACTGTATCCAAACCTTCAAGTCCTTACCTGGAGTCTGGACTTGTGTCTCAATGAAACTAAGATGAACTCAGTACAGGAACTTGACAATTAATATATATATATAATATATATGATTTATAAGCATATATATGATTTACGGGCACAACTTACCACAAACCATTCATGAAATAATGAACCAAAATATCTTATTTATGCCTGGCATAGAAATACAGACTCAGTAATAATATGAAGACTCGTAATTATTTGTACCATAAACATACAAAACTTTAGCGCTAACTCATTTCTTTCTTTCCATTTCTGCTCTCTCTTAAGAGCACAAGTGAAATATTTTAACCATGAGGCTGGGCTTAAGGGCTCAATAACAACAGCCACTGCTACTAGAAACCATGGTACCTTCCGTAAACTCTCAAGATAATAATTCATTCCATGCACCTGCCGCTAACCAAGGAAATGAAGAAACATTCTTACCATTTACATTTTCCAAGTTTTAAAAGTTTCCTATTATCTCTGTTCCATATGCAATACTTGGCATAAATGTACTCAGTGTGTGTGACTTCTTTCAGGCCAGTAAGTAATTGGTCAGTAAATTATTATTCCAGGGCACTCACTGATACCCTAGGAGGTTTGAGAAAAAGGTAAATGCTCTCAAAAAAGGTACCAACCTTCTAAAAAAAAAATTACTTAGAAATAGGAAAAACATGCCACACGGAGTTTTTATTTGCATAGCTGAACTCATTTAAAACTATTACTGCCTTATTTAAAATTATTTAACTTGAAAAACATTATTTGGAAATTAAACTAAATTACTACTACCAAATTTACTTCTGACATACATAAATTATGTAAAATTAATTTTTCAGGATGAATGTGGTGATGCTTGACTAAAATCCCAGTACTGGATTGGGGGTGGGGACAAAAATAAAAGGATCAGAAGTTCAAGGCCATCCTCAGCTACATAGAGTTTACGATCAGCCTGTGCTACATGACACCCTGTCTCATAAATCAAGCAAGCAAGCACACAAAGCTAAAAACAACTTTTGGCATCACTTAGTTATTCACAATTTTTTTTACAAGTCAGTTAAGAAACTCACACTGTCTTCCACATCTCCAGTCTTCCAGCCTTTCAACAGCATTTTAGGCACAGGTATCTGAAGTTCATTTTCTAGAATCTGTTTAATCTCTCCTGCACAAATAAGAAGAGATAAAATATAACTGACAAGGCAACACAGTCAATAATTGACTATATCGACGTTAATATCTAGTATACAATACACAGTCAATGACATTTGACTGCTGAATAATTGCTTTAAAATTCAGCACTCCAAATTTAAAATCTTCTTGACAAAACAATATGCTGTTCTAATGAAGAACTTGGGCTATAAAGATAATGACAAAAATATTTCACAATTTATTAAATAGCTAATTATGTACTTCACTTTGATCAATGCATGGCTTTCTAAAAAGAAGTAAAGTATCAGTAGTTAAATAATTTGAACAGAAAACAAACTAACAAGCAATACTGTTAGAAACAGAAGTGAAGCCTATTGTCTGACTTGGAATAATGTAATGCCTGCAAGATAAAAGCCAACCACAGAGCAGTTCTGATATAAGCCATGCGGAAGGTATGTTCTGTGAATCCTAGAAGCCTGAATAATAAAAACCTAGAACTTTGGAGGTGGCACCCAAGATTGCATGGCTATGCTCCTGGCACAACAACTCAAGCCTCTGTGCCTATTTCCACCAGCAAGGGGACTTTGAGGTTGGCCACTGTGTGGCTCTGGTTCAGGGCTACCTTCAAGTTACCCAGAACACTGCATTTCAGCACTAGCTGCTGGCCACGGACCTTCTGCAATTTCCAACAGTGTCATTTTCTGGGCTTGCCACAGGTAAAGGAGCTCACAGCCAACACTGGGCTCAAGCTCTCAAACTCCTTCCTGAAGCACCTTCACCCAGAGAGGATTCCCAATGGAAGCCTGCAGAATTTCCTGTCCATCCCATTCCCCTTGGTGAGAGAGATGTCTGTCTACATGAGACTACCTTAATCTTTGTAATCCCAAGGTATTGTAAGGAACGTTTCAAGGAATAAACAGCATACTCAAAAGGCAAACCTCATGTGGACATCCTAATTGTCAAGTGCCATACACCCAACCAGATCGGCTTCTCACAAATGCCTACCATGTTCTCAGCATATAACATTAGTGGTACAAAACGTAAGGTACCTCACTATAAGGAAAATGCATTTTGCAATGAAAATTAGAATTGACAGTGTGCTTGGGGAAAATACTTGCTTGTTGTTAGTTCAGCGTCTATAAAATAGAGGATAATTTCTTTATTTCTTCCCTGACCCAGCTGTCACTGAGTAGAGAGTTGTTCAATTTCCATGCGTGTGTAGGCTTTTTGCTATTGTTGTTGAGGTCCAGCATTAGTCCATCATGGTCTGATAAGATACAAGGTATTATTTCAATCTTCCTGTATCTGTTGGGGCTTGCTTTGTGACCTACTATATGGTCAATTTTGGAGAAAGTTCCATGAGGTGCTGAGAAAAAGGAGTACTCTTTTTTTGTTTGGGTGAAAGGTTCTGTGGATGTCTGTTAGGTCTATTTGATCCATGACAGTGGTTAGTTTCATTATCTCTGTTTAGTGTCTGTTTTGTTGACCTGGTTTTTGGTGAGAATGGGGCACTAAGTCTCCCGCTATTATCATGTGAGGATCTATGTGTGCTTTAAGCTTTATTAATGTTTCTTTTACAAATGTGGGTGCCTTTGTATTTGAGGCACAGATGTTCAGAATTGAGATGTCTTCTTGGTAGATTTTTCCTTTGATGAGAATAACATGTCCCTCTCCATGTCTTTTGATTAGTTTTGGTTGAAAGTGTATTTTAGTAGATATTAGAATGGCTACTCCAGCTTGCTTTTGGAGTTCATCTGCTTGGAAACCCTTCTTCTAGACCTTTACTCTCAGATAATGTCTTTGTGGCTGAGGTGTATTTTTTGTATGCGGCAGAATGTTGGGTCCTGTTTACACGTCCATTCTGTTAGTCTTTGTCTTTTTATTGGAGAGTTGAATCCATTGGTGTTGAGAGAGATTAACTATCAGTGATGAGGTACAGAATTAAACAGAGAATTCTCAACAGAGGAATCTCAAATAGTGGAGAAACACTTAAAGAAATGTTTAATGTCCTTAGTCATCAGGGAAATGCAAATCAAAACAACTCTGAAATTCCATCTTACACCCATCAGAATGACTAAGATCAAAAACTCAAGTGACAGGACATGCTGGCGAGGAATTGGAGAAAGGGGAACACTCTTCCATTGATGGTGGGAGTGCAAACTTGTACAACCACTTTGGAAATCAATCTGGTGCTTTCTCAAAAAATTGGGAACAGCTCAACCTCAAGACCCAGCAATACTGCTCTTAGGCGTGTACCTGAAAGATGCTCAAGCATACAAAATTTGCTCAACCATGTTCATAGCAGCTTTATTCATAATAGCCAGAATCTGGAAACAACCTAGAGGTCCCTCACTGAGGAATGAATACAGAAATTGTGGTACATTTACACAGTGGAATACTACTCAACAATTAAAAACAAGGAAATCATGAAATTTGCAGGCAAATGGATGGAACTAAAAAAGATCATCCTGAGTGAGGTAACCCAGAACCAGAAAGACACACATGGAATATACTCAATTTATAAGTGGATATTAGCCAAATAATACCGGACAGCCATACTAAAATCCACAGACCTACAGAAACTGACTAATTTCTCGGGAGGATGCTTAATTCTCATTCAGAAGAGCAAATAGGATAGACACTGGAATTGGTTGAAGAGAGGGAACAGGATAGGAGCCTACCATAAATGTCCTCCAAAAGATTCCACCCAATAGGGCATCAAAGCAGATGCTAAGACTCACAGCCGAACTTTGGGCAGAGTGTAGGAAACTTTGGGAGTCGTACGAAAATAGGGAGGAGTTGTAGGAGTAGGGAAATAGAAAGACACAGAAAAGACAGGAGCTCCATAAGAAGACCAACAGAGCCAACAAATCTGGGCCCATGGGGGCCTATAGAGACAGATGCACCAACTAAGGACCATGCATGAAAAGGACCTAGACCCCCTGCTCAGATGTAGCCAATGTGAGGCAGCTCAGTCTTCATGTGGGTACCCTAGTTAGGGGAACACAAGCTGTCTCTGACATAGACTCTGTTGCTAGCTCTTTGATCACTTCCCTTTGGTGGGGGGGAAGGAGGCATTGCCAGGCCACAGAGGAAGAGGATGCAAGTAGTCCTAATGAGACGTGATAGGCTGGGGTCCTCCTTTCTAAGAAATAGGGAAGGAGAATACAGGGGAAGAAGAAGGGAGGGTGGGACCTGGAGGAGAGAAGGGAGGGGGCTACAATCAGGATATAAAGTAAATAAATTATAAAAAATTATATGTTAAATTTCAAAAAGAGGATAACTCTGCCTAGCTCAAAAGCTAAAGCCAATATATATGATCTAAAGACAATTTAAACTGTGTGGGAACATCAGAGTTCCAGAAGAGGGAGAAGAGGACACTACAGAATCAAACAGCAAAGGCTTTATCAGGTAGACAAAACTTAAATCCAGCAAAAAGTGTAACTGAAACCAGTGCAAAGCACAGCTGGACTGCAATAGTAAGCCAAAACAAAATAGGCAAGAACATCGTTCATTGAAGATAAAAGATAGGAAGACTAAAATAAAATAAAATTAAAGGACAAAATACTGATGAGATACACCAAGAAAGAACAATGTTCCCATTGAGTCATAAATTCTTCTGTAAGAATCAAGTCGACTGACAAATGGGTGGGCAGGTTTCAGGCCCTCTGCACTGCTTCAAGTTGACTGTTCAGAACACACAAATGCATCTTTTATCTATCTGCCTCTGATGAGTTGCTGCTAGTTAATAATTTGAAAATATCACGTAAGCCCATTGTTTTAAATTAAATAATAAGATTGAATGCTAAAACTAGGAAAAGAAACCCATGATGAGAAAAGAAAATGAGAGAAAAAATTTTTATATTACACAAGTTCTTGCAGAAACAACTGCTTAAAATAAGCAACACAACGGAATCATTCATGGCCCCCAGGGCTTTTCACTTTCTGTAAGAAAAGACTAGGCCAGTAAAGAAGGCTCTGTGGGTAATGAATGGTATTTGCTGTCAAAACTGCAAATTTGATGCCTGTTATCAACGTGGCAAGTGAAGATAAATGCTTCTCAAAAGTTGTCATCTGCCCTTTAAACCCATTCCGTTGCACATTCACAACATACACACACACACCACCACCACCGCCGCCCCATAAACACACACATAATAAAATACTATTTAAAAAAATTAAGTTATTTTGTGCATTCAAGGTAATGAGTAGCAATCAAAACAAAAAACAAAAACAAAAAACACCTCTGGTTCAACTTTGCATTTGTAGAAGCACAAATCCAAAAATGTCACTACTGACAAATACTCTGTTTGTAGAGACAGTAGAAAGGTAAGTCATATTTGTCACTTTCCTTTCATAGATAAAGGGCTATTCACCCAGCTGTACTTGCCTGGGCATCTGCAGCTGCAAGTCCACCCAGTGCTTTCCTCTTTAAATTATCTCCAACAGACACTTTTCTTACACCCTTGAAAACATGCAGGCTTAAAACAAGTTCTTAGTAGAAAAAAGTCTTAGAGTCCCTATTATCCTCTGCAGACAGCCTGGATAAAACCAAAAATAACCCTGAATACCTTTGTTGCACATGCACAGCACAACAGGAAATAAAGCCAGTTAACAACTTCTCTTCTCCCCTGCTTTTCTTAGTCTCTGATAATTATTAGAATTCTCCCTACTTTCTCTTTTCCCACGAGATCAGCTTGTTAGAGTCCATGTGGAGAATGTGTTATCTTTATCTTTCTGCATTTTACTTAATATAATGTCCTGTATTTGCATTCATTTAGCCCCAAATGACAGGATTTCATTCCTTTAACTGAATATTTTCCTTGTGTCTTTTCCTGTCATTTTTTAAACTTACAATAAAACAATTTAAATCATAACTTTTGAAACTTTTTTAGTGTGTATATGGTGAGAGCAAACATGCTGAAGCATACATTTAGAAGGCAGAGGCAAGTTCATCACGTCACTTTCCTCCTTTTACTCTGTTTTCAGAAGTATTTTCTTGTCTAATAATATCTCTGTCCTTACTATCAAGGCAATATTGGGCTCATAAAATAGATTACAAAAAATGTTTTCTCTTTCTCTATTTTTGAAGGATTAGTAGTATTCTTCTTAAATGTTATTCACTCATGAAGCCATCTGCACTTTAGGTTTTCTTGATTGGAAGATAGGGACTTTCATTCAGTTTATAGATTAGATAGCCACATTAATTACTTACACGTATGAACACATACAAAAACACTTACATACAAATCTTGTGTATATGGTCAGTGTTGACTTACATATAGTCAATTGATTTATAGTCAGTGTTACATCTTCAAGTATCTCTTTCATTCCCAACATTAATAATCTACATTTTCACTATCATTCATACTATCAAGAAGATTATTGTCTTTTATTAACTTTCAAAAAACAACTTTAAGTTTTGCTCCTTGTCTTTATTACTTATGGATTTTCTATTTTATTAACTTCTACTCTTATACATAGCATTTTAATTCTGTACTTCTTAATGTCTTAACAGTTTTGTAAAGCAAAGGCTGATATACAGCAAATATTACAAACATCTGATAAATTTTAACAAATTTATCCAATAATGAAGCCACCACAATCAAGGTCGTAAATACAGCGTCCATTTCAGAAGGTTTCATTGGTAGCTCCTCATGCACAGCGCTTCCTCTTCTGGGAGGCTGAAATGGATTCCTACAACTAGAGTAATCTGAATTTCTGACTTTTAGAGGAATATAATTTCAGAATGCTCTCTTTTTGTTGACTTCTTTTACACAAAATAAATTATTTTCCAAAAAGCAGAAACACTGTGTATGGACATTAAATTTCTTGTCTACTGCTCAATTTATGCATATAAATTGTATACAGACATGTCTGTCTACACACACACATATGTGGGATTGCTTCTTGATTGGGCTATCAAGAGGAAGTAGTTATGAATATTACTATACTATACCCACCTTTGATGAACATATATAACTTTGTAAAATAAAAAAGTCCTGTTTTCTAATGAGATATCTTTTGCTTCATCATCAGATTTGTATGTATAGTGCACTTGTGAACTCAGGTACACAATCTTTCCCTCGGATATTAAAGTTGCTTTGGATCGGCCAATTCCACTGCTCATTATGAACCATTTCTTTGCATTTTGTAGACTGGTAACCTAATGGCAAACTTTGTCTTTTTGGATGCTTGATCTCTTTGCATTCCTATAAATATACTTAAACTTTCTTTAGTTACAATTCAGTCACATAGTTACATAGTTCAATTATTTTGCGCTTTGCTTTTTAGATTTGTAATATTTAATCTAAGGATAATTGTTCCCAAACACATCTTTATCATAAATTCAGTCAGAAACGTTTTTTCATTTCCCATTTGATCATAAAAACAGGTTGGCTAACTTCTAAGTATTTTGAGAACATCCTCGATATGAGATGTATATATTTCCCTACTTCCCAGTGTTTTAAATTGTCCTGTAACCTCTAGCTATTTGATTATGATTACAATGCAGGTGCCCGTGGCTTACACCTACAGTAATAATTTAGCTGACCCTGGTATGCTTACAGTTGCCCTTTCCACCCTGCTCTCTCTCTGGAGTGGTCTATCACCTTACACTTTCCTCTACTGGGCTCTCAATTTCTTTCCCCACTACCGGAACCCAGGACTTCTTGTTGTCTGTAGTTCACAACACACAGTGTCTACTGCTGTCTGACAAGTCACTATTTTCAACAGCTAATTAATTAACTTCATCTTAGTAATTATATGTGTGTGCATGCTTAGTGAGCATATGTATGTTATAAAAAGATTTAGAAATAATAAATATGAGAACTGAGCAAATGAGTCTTAGCACATGTAATGAAATAGATATTTCGGACATGAAAATATTTGTTTCTGGGGTGACTGTTCTCTACATCCTACTCACTGAAGAAATCAGTGGGAAGACACTGGATGATTAGCTCTTTTCCACTTTCTGGGGGTTACTAATGTAGCGTGCTCATGCCAAGAAGGGGAGTAAGGCATGGGCATAGCAAAATTTGAACCTGTACAGAAAAGATGAATATTGAGGCCACAATATACAACTGAAAATATAAACAGGACAGAAAAACCACTAACCAGCCAATGCAGCTACCACTAGGTGTCACTCTGGCATAACTTTCTTGACTGAATTTAGCCTTACTTTTATTATCTTGTTCCATCTACCTGGTAACAGTACAAAAAAAAAAAAAAAAAAAAAGGCATTATCTTATTGGGCATCTTTCTTTCTATACAGAAATTAACATTTATATAATTCCTGAAAACAGTAAGACGTCTTATAGCAATGATATTGCAGGTCAAAAATTTTAATGTGTCTATTTTGAAGTCCCCTATTATATATAGGTAGCTAATCTATATAAACATATACCCTTACACTCTTTTTATTCAGCCACTCTTTTTCTCAGTAGATATGATTACGACAAATACCACAACTGGAGAGAGAATTTTAAAATAAAACTGGTCTTCTAAGATAGAGAAGTTAACATTCAGAAGAGAAACCCTAGACACAAAGTAATCAAATTACTACATCCACAGAGGTTAAGAACTAAGTCACAAGGAGACCTCATGAGACCCTGCAGCCTGAGCAGGAAGGTGGAGCAAATACAATGTGAGAGGTGGGAGTAACTGAAATGTACACCAAGGGATCAGCGTTTAGAAAAAGTACACCAATCTCGTTGTGTAAAAGATATATGAGATGGAAAATGAACACATGTAAATTACAGAGAAATTATTTTAGTTACACATGAAAGAAACCAATTCCTGAACTGTAACAAAGGAGATGAAAATAGAAGAGATTCGAACAGGAAGCAACAGAACCTGTAGAATTTAATAAATCAAACACAGTAAGAGAGAGAGAAAAAAAAAAAAGAGTTCTATCAAGTCCTAAATATTATTTACTACCATGCCTTCCATATTTATATCAAAGGTGAGCAAAGAAAAGGTTCATGGCGTAAGACCTGACTGGCATCCACTTCACTGTGAGAGAAAAACTGCGCTCCAGAATATAACCAGACTGAGAAGAGGTGCAGGAGTAATACATATCACATGGTAATGTCTGCCTTCTGACATATTCTGAATGAATTATAGCAGGTAAATGTAACAGTAACAGTTAAAGAAACAGAGGTCATGAATTAAAGAGAGAGCAGAGGGAACATGAGATAAGTTGGAGGGGAGAGAGAGAAGGGTGAAAATGACATAAGCAAAGTACTCATGTATGAAATTCTCCAAAAAAAAAAAAAACAAAATACAAGAAGCAGAGCTTTTAAGTGGTAATTTAGGCAACAAGGGCCCCACTCCTGTGGAAAAGACTATTATTAAAGTTCTTAACAAAGCAAGCCCGTCCCTTCTGCCCTTCTTGCTTTGTGTCATGTAATGTCAGGGTACTCATCCCTCCCAGGAGTACAGCATCAGGTCCTGTCCTTGAAGCAGACAGACGCTATCACCAAATTGAGATTACGTGCCTTACTCTTAGACGTCCCAGCAGAAATATAAGAAAATTAAGTTTAATGATCTTCATTAAATTATCCCTGCTTATGAACTCTTTTGTAGCAGCACAAAACAGACACAACAGTGTGAAAATTACTGTGCTTTAGTTGCAGAGTGGGTATACAACAAACTCAACTTACACCATTTTTTGAAGCTCCTAGGTGTTTTATTTACAGCAATCCTAAAACAGTATACAGAGCTATGAATATGCTGAAAGTCAAGTGCTTGTCATGGATGACAAGTGCCTTAGAGTGAGCAGCTTACACTGGCAAAAGCACATAAAAATAACAATGACAGTTCAAACAGTGTATCAAAAATTCTTTTTGAACTTACCTTAAAAATCACAATATATACTGAAATCAGAGCACAATGCCTTTATGAGAAAGTATCCAATATGTTGTGCCTCTTTCCCTTCTTGATAGTAAACTCAAAGGAAAAGACTTACATAAACTTGGAGTCTGTCTAATGAGTTATTCACTTATGAAGGCTTTATCAGGGTAATCCTTACCAACAGTACAGCTGTCTTCGAGTACCACGTCAACATTTCTGTCTCTGTACTCAACTCTGAAGTCTAGCATTCGAGGCTGCCTTTCTACAATCTGCCTGGATGGCATTACAGGTCGAAAAGCTGAAGAGGAGGGAGCTGGAGTTGGAGCTGGAGCAGGGTGACTTGCTGGATCAAATGTGGGTCCTGGCATGGTCTCACCTCCGAAGTCACTAAAGTGTTGACAGGAAAGAAAATTTATTTCTAGTTCATTCACGGCGTCACCAAGGGTCAGCTCCATTGCCTTGCCTGTTTTGTCTATCAATCTGCCCACACCTGTGTTAAGGCCAAGTTCTCTTTCTTCTAATACATCTTTAACAATGGTAAACGGCTAAATTATTTTCCCTCTCACCATTGCTCTTCTCTTCTAACTAATACTATTATATCACTTAAAATTAGACTGTTGCCATGTTAGTCAAAAGACAAAAATGAGCATTAAAAACAGCGCCTTGGGCTGGTGAGATGGCTCAGTGGGTAAGAGCTCTTCCTAGCAAACCTTATAACCTGAGTTCCATCCCAAGAACATAAAGTACAAAAAGACAGCTAATTCCCCAAGCTATCCTCTGGCCTACACCCTCATAATGCACCAGCGCACGCACGCACCAACACATGCATGAATGCTCCCACTCTTTAAAATATGAAGTGTATATTTTCCAGCCACTCTCAGTGAATCATTATTTGACTTGCTATTTCTATTTTCCACAAACACAATTTGTAACTTTCTTAAATTTTAATTCTCTTTTGCTTCACTCCTAGTTTTAGCAGATGAGTTTTGTGCCAGGTGGTGGTGGTGCACGCCTTTATCTCAGGACTCAGTAGTTAGCGGCCAGCCTGCTCTACAGAGTGAGTTCCAGAACAGCCAAGGTTACACAGAAAAATGCTGTCTTGAAAAACAAAAACAAACAAACCAAAAAATGAGTTTTGTTAGGAAAATGGAAGCCAAAGGAGCCTTTTCTTAATACTAAGTCCGCAATCTCTAATGAAAAACAAAGAGGACCTCTTTTTCCCTATGTGTGCAAAACCTCTTCAGTTTTAATCTAGAGATTGCCCCCTTTCCTTTATAATATCATTGCACTTTCTAAAACTTAAATATAGTCAGTCTTTGCTTTCTTAACTAAAACTAAGCGACTGGTGTGATTAAGTTGATGAATGAACTCTTACAAGGACTGTAGAACTCCTTCTGACTCTGATGCGGAGTTACAGAGGAAAACAGCAAGCCCAGTTGTCAGCGCTATGCTCAAGAGAAATAAAACTGAGACACAAAGAAATACATACTTCTAAAGTAGTTGATTCCGCTCTTCTGAAGTGTAAACTAAGAATTGGTTCTCTATCAACTATATTTAAATCAAACACACAAAGCAATCACCCTCTTAAGTGACTACACACTCACCGTGCATGTGTTCTGCTTGCAGTGCTAACCCTATGAAACAGCACAAGAGGGCCTCTTTCATTTTCCTCTGTCAGCAGACACACACAGCCATTTTCACTTACATAAATCCACAATGATTTTAAGACTAAAGAACACAGGAAGGGACTAGTTGAGAAACTTACTATATACAACTTATTTTATTACACTGGCATGATTCCTCAGAAAGAAGCAAAGAAAGCTAATAAAAACCCACTGTGATCAACTAAGACCCTAAATACTATAGTAATTACTACAGAATACTAAATTTTTTCATCATTAAAAAAATTAAGCAAAAAAACATCATTTGTAACAAGAGAGATGAAATATTTCCAGGGAAAAATAATTTCTACAGTTACCACAGCAAATGCTATGAAATATAAGCTAAGCCCAATGTGTCTCCAGAACCCACTAACTAAAAGCCCTAAAGGAAACAATGGCACAAAATGTGGAAACAGCATTTATTCAACTGAACCTAGAGTGCTATCTGGTACTCTAAAACTTCCTAAACCAAATTTATTAAAATAAACATGAAGGAAGTTCCTATAATTATTTGGTTTGCTTTTCTGGACAAGAGCTTCAAAAGAGTTAACTGAATGCTTTTAAATCACCCCTGCCAACCAACCAAAACCAAAAAAGTTGCTACTACAGACTTTGGATATCAGCTATATTTATTATGGCTCAAACATGTGACAAATTTTTAAAGGGAAGTTGAAAAATAGCTTCCCATTAATCATTAAGCATCAGACTGATTTTTGCTTCCGTCCTAAATACACAGTTTCCTACCAAGTATAGCATAATTTTGCATTCAGGTTGAATTATTTTTATGCTGTTACAACAGCACTTTCTTCCTCTCCGCAACTACTCCTAGTCCACTATTTCTGTGTGCCTCATCTGCACTTAGCAGTTCACGCTTCCATGACTTACAAGTCCCAGCACCAAAACTCAAGCCAAGAGTCTGAACTGAGAAAACAGAGAGAAAAAAAGAAAAAGGAAAAAAAACAACAACAACAAAAAAAAAAACACTATGCTTGGGAAAGAAAACTGTTTTTATCCCCTATGACTGTATACTGAGTTATTTTAATCCAGAACCAAACTCTCCCACTTTAAAAAGAAAACTATCCACTTCTTTTTAAGTCTGTTTTAAACATTATAGTTCTCTTTTTAAATCGCCTCCCAATTTTACCTGTAAAAAAGACACAAAGCCAATAAAACAAACCCATATATTACCAGTGGATATATTCAGATACAGTAATAGTTCTATGCTCTGGGATGTATTATTATTAAAGAATTCCTGGAATTGTTACAAATTGTCCTGGGTTAGAAACCAACTGGGAAAGGGGAAAGACTATGTGTGGTGAGTTTGGAGATAAAGCCTGAATTGTCATGTGACAACCTTATTCTGCAGCTATTGAGCCATGTCTTACCTTCAGTTCCTTCCATCTTGTAACTAAAAGGATGATTTTAGAAAGTTTTCTTTAAAATTTAAAATCACCAAATCACTTTACAAGTTTATTTTATCCAACTGGCAAAAATATATAGATTTTGTAGTTAAAATAACACTTCCCAGGCCTGTTATAACAGTACTTGGGAGATAGAAGTAGAAGAAAAGACAATTTAAGGCCAGATGCAGTTACATAGGAATCTCAAGGCAAGATGGTATACACAAGACCCTGTTCCAAAAAAGAAGTAGGGGTGGGTGTTGGAAACTTTAGAAAATTAACTACTTTAGAGAACTAATTAACAAATCATAAAAAGAACAATGCTTATATTAATGAACTTATAGACCAAAAGTCTACAGCTCCACTAAAAAGTAAACCCAGAGCCAGCAATATGGAAATGGCTGCTCTTTCAGAGGTCTTAGATTTAGTACCAACACCCACGTGACAACTCACAACCACCTGAAAGTTCACCTCCATTTCCAGGGTACCCAATGCTATCTTCTGGCCTCTCTGCAGGCACTGCTCACAAATGCTGAGATTACATATATGCAAACATACACATAAAATAAAAATAGTAGGTTTTAAAAAAAGTAAACCCCCAACATTGGTAACATTTTCTTCTTCATTCTAATAAACTGCTATGAAACCATTATACGTTTTATAACATACCTTTGTAGAATGCCATTTTCCTGGGGTATTACACCATTGATAGCTGCCTGCAATGGAAAAAACAAAGAGAATTTAACAAAATGGGTTACTGAACTAGTGGAATGAAGAATACCATAAAAAGAATTAAATATACCTTGAAATATTTATTTAAACAAAATACTGAATGTTTCCTTAATGATAAGAAGCATCTTCTGTTAAGTGCTTTTACTTTACAATAATAAAATGCTGTATTTAAAAAGCTTTGATTAAGACTGTTTTTCCTTTAGGGACTACCTGTGTCTTGTTCCACATGCTGCTGAAATTATATCCATAATGATGCCCTACACAGACCAATTAGACTCTCCAAGGATTATGCACCTTGAGTAAATGCAACTGGAAACTGACCAATTGAAAACTATATTCTTCTAACAAAACTACTCAATTTTTCCTACCCAACTGCTGGACCAATTGTTACTGGCTTCCCTAGCAGCTTGGTTGTTCAAATGTTCTTCTAAATCTGTGAGATTCTTCTTTGCATACTTCTGATAACTTCTACTTGCTACTTCCCCACTCCCACACATTCCACTTTATATTCAAAAGTTTCAAGTATAATCAAAGATTTTAAAAGGTCAGTCTCTAGACTGATTAAATGCAACTAAATACTAAAACTAATACATTTCAAATATGAAATTTGTACACAAAATAGAAAAGGAATTCAAATATCATTTGAAAATAAAAATAATAAATGCATTTCTATGTAACTATATTATTAGCATATATAATTAATCTTGCAAATTCTTGGAAAGCTTGTGAAAAAGAGTAATAATTATTGCAATATTAGCTTTGTTTCATCAACTATCCACTTTTTTTCATCTCTGGAAAATACTTGAAGTGCAAAATAACTGCCTTTTTATTCAAGTTGTTTTTATGTATTACATCAGAATTAAAACAGTTTCAAACTTCCTAAGCAACAAATATTTAACCCAGAGGACACTAGTATTTTAGCATTCACAATTCCCATCCTGCCATAATGCCAATTCTTCCAACACAACCAAGATGTCCTTTCTTTCATTTAGACTGATCCCTTATATACAAACTAGCACCAATCGAGTCATTATTTTTAGTTACTAACCTAGAACTGTCTGGGCACTAACACCACAGTTTTGAACAGGGCAGAATCACATTTTTCTTGTGTATTATGTCCTATGTAAAATGGTATTCTTCTTTTTAAGATCTATTTATTTATTGTTTATATAGTGTTCTATACTGCATGCCAGAAGAGGGCACCAGATCTCACAATAGATGGTTGTGAGCCACCATGTGGTTGCTGGGAATTGAACACAGGACCTCTGGAAGAGCAGCCAGTGCTCTTAACCTCTGAATCATCTCTCCAGCCCCCTAGAATGGTATTCTTATGGCAACCTTATTCCCATAGCAGTACTATCACTGGCGATGAGACCTTCTGAAGAGGCCATCATGCCCACACACTTGGTCTCTCCACAGAGCAGCCAGCATGATGCTCATAAATGCTTAGTCAAGAAAAACCCTTTTCCTTCTCAAATGTGACGTAACACTGCCATAGCTATGAGTCATTCACTTTAAAGTGCTAGAAGGAGAACATCAATCCTACTTTAGATAGCCAAAGGAGCTGACCACAATCTCAAAGAGATCTATGCATTCCCCATGTTCAGTCAGACTATTCAGAGCAGCAGAAGGCAGCGTGACAAAATGCACATCAGTGGATGAATGGACAAATGAATGTGGCATGCACATACAGTAAGTAAAATACTATCTGCCTTTAAAAAAGAAGAAAAGTCTGGTCTGTCCTATTACAACATGCACACACTGTGAAAAAATTACAGCAAGTAAAGTAAGTCAGTCACACAGAGACACAAGACAGATACTGTATGTATATACAATTCAACTTACACAAGGTATCTAACGAAACTGTAGACTTCATAGACAAAGAGAATGGTACATGCTGGGAACTTTGGGGAAAGTAATGACTGTTGCTTAACAGGTATACAGTTCGAATTTTGGAAAATAAAAAGCTTCTGGAGATCTGTGTCACACAACAGTATAATAATGTTAATGTTAAACACCCATATGCTGACAGGCAATTCTCCAAACTGGTTCTTAACCTATCAGTAAATTATCAATAAAATAACATATTAATAATAAATTCCATATTACTGTATGATTGGTCACTGGTCATATTTAAGACAAAACGTACATTCAAGCTTTACATGTGATAAATTAGTATATACACATATTGTAAAATTATCACAACTGAATTAATACATCATCACTACAGTTAGCTGCTTGTGTGCGTATACCTGTGCACACTCATACACATGCATGATAGAGGTAGAGAAGACACTTATGGAACATTTGCAAGAAGTGAACTGAAGGGGGGGGGGGGTTCTCTGCAAGTATCCAGACAACGAAGAGAACCAAGGGAAGAGTTTAAGAATAGAAGCCCAGTGCAGACTGACTTCATCAACCTAGATGAGACTTCAGGGAGTCTGCAAGCAGTTCATTGTCAACATATTTAAAACAACACAGATTGGGAAAAGGTTTCCAGACAACAATCAGTCCAATTTAAGGTACACAATAAAGCTTAAGGTGTGACTGTACAGAAACTCTTTTACGAAATACATGTGACCATGAGCATGAGTTCTACAGCTACAATCTAATGTTGTTTCTGACTGATAGCACAGAGGCCAGCAGCCCATAAAGTACTTGAGACATTCCCCATCCCCCAAGGACGGGCCATGGTCTACGGAAATAATCATTTGGGTGAGGAATAATCATGGAATAATCATTTGGGTGAGGTTTCCCTTTACAACAAAAGGTGAGTGAGGTCTGCTCTGCAGACAGCAAAAAAGACGAGGGCTCCTTAACAAAATCCACTCCCAGCCTTCTGGGCAGGAACACAGGTTTTTGTTTTTGTGTTTTAAGATTCTATTTATTTTACGTCTATGAGTGCTCTATCTGCATGTACACCTGCACACCAGAAGAAGGCATCAGATCCAGTATAGATGGTTGTGAACTACCATGTGGTTGCTGAGAATTGAACTCAGGACATCTGGAAGTGCAGCCAGGGCTCTTAACCGCTGAGCCATCTTTCCAGCTCAGGAAAACAGGTATTTTTTTCCCCTCCATTAGCAAGAGGGCCCTGGGTGTTTAACACATCTGCTTCCTTAGTGTTTCATGAGAGCAAGTACCTGTGTGCTCCCAACAGTGAACAACACAGGCAGATTTATTGACTATCCGCATTCTGGTGTGCACTGGCTCTCTAGAACATACTCATGGTATAACTAGAAGTTTATGCTTCTGGGTCAATATCCCGATTTCTATGTGTGATAATCATTGGCAACTACCATTCTAACCTGTTGCCAGTAGTTCAACTTTTTATAGATGCCGTATGTAAATGACATTTGTCTTTCTGTGTCTAGTTCAGGTTGTTTCAATATCCTGACTAACGCCAATAATGTTATAATGAACATGAAATGTGTTCAGGTGAACTTGATTAAGAATCGGTTTTCTTAACAGGCAGTGGTGGCACACTCCAAGCAGGCAATCTCTGAGTTCAAGGCCTGGTCTACAGAGTGAGTTCCAGAACAGCCAAGACTACACAGAGAAACCCTATCTCAACAAACAAAAAAACCAAAAAGGAAAATAGGAGTTAGTTTCCTCATCTACAAAAAGGGACAGAATGCAATCTGACTTCATAAGCCTATTATAAGAATCAAATGATATTTTAAAAGAAAAAGTGCTCTACAGGAGTTAGCAATGGAAATTATCCATTCTCAATTAAATGGTTTTTAAATTATCTATTTCGTTGTATTGTAATAAAGCAGAGACACATAATATCTCCCTCACATTAAGCTACAAGAAATCCAGATCTATTTCCTGTATCGAGCTCTGCTCCAAAGCCGGAAGGTCATATGCAATGCAGCCCAGGAGTCACTTATACAAGCCCATGTAATTCAGATGCAGTCAGGGTTAAAGGAAGTATAGTTTTTAACCTACAATAAACAACACCTTTTACTACACAATACCATGTAAATATTTTTCCATGAGCTCTTTATGATTTCCAAAGTTCTTTAATGTCTAATGCACATATCTCTCATAAATCCCTGCTTTCAGACTCACTCTGACTGGAGCCAGAAATTCGCTGTACTACAGCTCCCTCACTTACTACCTATGTGCTTGCTTCAGTTTCCTCATCCATAAAGTGGGATTAATAATAGTATTTGCAGTCTGTAATCAAAATGTTCCAAGGCCATTATAAAGAAATAAGACCACAGGTAGCTTGGCTTTGGAAACTAATAATAAATGTGAATTAAAATGCAAAAATATGCAAGAAGAGCTTCAAAATAATAAAATCTGGGACCTATGCTTTAGATCATCAAGGGTACTTCTAATCTACAGTAATTAAAACAGGACAGTATTGAAGCAGTGATTCTCAAACCAATAAAAAAAAAAAGAGCATTTAAAAATAAACTCATACATATAGGAATTCTTAATTTATAACAAAGATGTCACTGCAGAGAATTAATAAAATAATGGCCTTTTCAATAAGCAAAAGCAAATCAAATTGATATACTATAAGGGAAAAGAAAAGAACAAGAAAGTTCAGCCCATCCTATATCAAACTCAAAGTCAACCTCTGTGGCTAGGGAGATGCTCAGTGATTAAGAGCACTTGCTCTTGCAGAGGACCTGAGTTTAGTTCCTAGAATCCACATGGTGGCTCACAACCACCCTTAATTCCAGTTCCAGAGAATCAGATGCCCTCTTCTGACCTCTGCCAGCACTGGGCACACACATGGTGCACAGACATGCAGATAAAACACTCCTACACATAAAATAAATAAATGCAAAACAAATTTAATCAATCCCAATGATTTACAACTAGAAATATAAAAGGCAAAATAAAGCTTCTTAAAAAATACAAAAACATCTCCATGTGCTTGAAGCAGGCAGATAACTTTATTCATAACACAATCTATAAATCAAAACCAATAGAGGAAAAGGTTAATAAACTAGACTATATTAAGATT